GATTTTTCATAAAAGTGAAGTCAGAGTTTTCAGGTATTGTGATGAATAAGCCATATTCACAGTTGATTCAAAACGCCTGAAAATAAAAAATAACAGATAATAGTAATGTTATTCATGGTTTATTAGAATGTAATTGTTGTCAAAAAACCAAAAAAAGCTATTTCAGAAAAACATTTCATACTTTCTTACTCAAATTACTGCAAGAAACAGCAAAACTTGATAACTGATACTATGAAATTCACCAAATTAAAAATCTTTCTCACTGTCTCATACCAAATGATTTTTTGACTGAGAAAATTTTCTCATTTCCTTACCTACCATAACCAAGGCACATTATTGACAAACTCTTCAAGATCTTGTTTGTCATCTTATGCCTTTTAATGAAGATGGAACATTGACAGGGAAATAGATTTAAACGAAGAAGTTTCGTAAAGAGCGCAAACGGTAGTGTAATGTAAAATTACTCATGCTAGAAATTTTCATAAAAGTGACCCGAAAAATGGAGCTAACTCGGTAACCCGTGGCCCGATTTGAACAAAACTTGTTTTATTTTGTTTCTATTCTTATTTCAGAGGTACTGTATTTTTTTACAAATATGACGCTATTGTGTGCCATTTTTGCTGTATTTAATTACAGACAAGCAAACAAACAAACAATCTCAGAGTTTTAGCAGTATATAAATTTTTATTACCAAATGTTATGTTTTTTAGAACTTAAGTTATAAATGTACTTTATAAGAACCTATTTTCCTGGGTTGTTACTGTAAAAAGGTACTATATGTTTTTGAGCCACTGGTGCTTTTTAAGAGTAGATCTCATATCCTACTATTTGGCCAAACAAGAGTTAGTGATGGGTGCTTGTGATAAGCTGGCATCCCTCTAGTTTATCAGTTCAAAATTAGAAATGGCTATGCACATATAGCTTTTAGCAAAATTCTCAAACACTTATATATTGCAAACCATGGTGTCTGTCCAACCAATAGTCTGTCTCCTGTTTGAAAAGATGCACATGCAGGCAAAGCTCAAAATTCACTTTTGAAATGAGAGGAGAACAGGCATGAATAATGTTGATGGCAAAATTTATTTTGCAAACAAGATATTCTACACTAAATTGTTAGGAATTAATCACACTATCATTCACATTTCAAAATGTGACATAACGTAAAGAATAAAAATGTAGATTTACCGTATGTTATTGTTGAGTGGCTCTTAGCATGACTGCAATGCTCAGCAATTACTTTTCGTGGTGGGCAGTATAAGTAGCTCAGAGCTTTGGTTTTTAGTGAAACCAATAGTGCAACACAATTAACCTTTTTAAAGTCCATGAAATAATTTAAATTGATAGATTAACTTAAACTTTTCCCTTTACTGGGGATGGGTACTTTTACTTGATCTGGATATGATAACTAACTCTAATTTATGTATGAATGTTGAATGGAGATTTGTCCTCAACTTATGCAGTTTTATGCTGAAAAGATTAAACTTGTAAATAAAGTTTCTAATAATTTTTAAAATATGGAGCTGCTTAGTTAAGTACTGTCATGAAAGCAATGTTTGATAGAGATTTATTGTACTTATAGTATTCATGTTGATAAATTTGTATATTCAAACTAGTAAGTAAGATTTAATAGTCTTTAAACATTTGAATATGAATGTTTTTTTACAGGTTATGAGTGCTTCCTGGCATCATTGGTTAGGCAAGAGGTCAGTGAGCTTCCAAGATCAATATATCATCAAGCTAAAACAAACTCAAGGTCAACTAGACAAAATAAGGCATTAGATGGAATTCCAGGGTTAATGTGTAACTTTTATGAAGCTAACAAATTACCAGCTATCCAAGGAAGCTCAGCAGGTTAAACATTTTTTTTCATCATCCAAAATGTACAAGCTTACATTTTTATAACCTTAGGAATATACTACCTGCTGAACCGACAGCATTGATTTCAGGCCTCAGTTTGTGAATCAGAAGGCTCTCTTTTGTATGGAGACTTCTTTCCTCGGTAACTCTAGCTAAGATCAAATTCTACAAGGGCATGTTTGACTATACTGGATTTAGAAGGTGATATGAAATTTGAGTATTCTTTTATATGTGTTATTAGTTTCTTTTTTATAGATCCAATATAACCTTACTAATAGCAGGGACTAGTAAATTTGCAACCTACTTAGAAGAATGACTGCAAGAAAAAAATATGGTCTTTAAATAATAAAAGAAAGATTGTAGGCAACAATTAGGTTTGAAAATATAAGGCTTCCAGTAAGCAAACTCCTTGCTGAGTTATTAAATGTAGATATAAGTCTGTATTTACACTTTCTAGTGGAAATTTTTTTTAATTGTCAAAAAATAAATTACATCTTTATTTCTTGAATGAATGTAAACAGTTAATAGTGACCCCAGCATTTCTTAATTTTAAAGTCCCAATTGTAAACTTTAAATTTTCTAAGCAGTAGTCATAAAATTCAAAATCAGCCGTTTAACTTGGAAATTAAACAAAATAGTTGGCCGGATAAATATTTCATCAGACAAGCTACAGAGACCTTTAAGGTTAAGTATCTGGATTTTATTCATTTATTGAAACTTAAAATAATATAATTTTAGTCCAGATTAAAGACAACAGATAGCTAAACTAATTAATTTGAGGTGACAGTTGGGATATTTCTCTATCTTTTTTTTAGAGAAACCTGATAATGTAATGTTTAATTTTTCTGGAATAAGTGGAATAATGTTTAATAAGTGTGGAATAAGT